TTGACCTCGTGATCCACCCGCCTCGGCCTCCCAAAGTGCTGGGATTACAGGCTTGAGCCACCACGGCCAGCCCTATTTTTCTTGAGGTTAATGCAAAAGCCAAAATTGATCTTGTTTGCCAACATTAACTTCACTCACTTTTTTTGTTTGAAGAACAAAAAATATAAATTGTGTTAATGCTTCCAAATTAGAGCACTTTAAACGCTTTCCTTTTTCATTGCAATAGCATTACTGATTCCTGGTTGGCAATAATCCTACTTTGGGGTCATAGCAAACTAAACTAAGACCTAGGTAACAAACTGAAATGCAATGCATCTGTAAAGATCTTTGAGGATAATGTATGAACAAATTCACTTACTCTCTTTTTTTGAGATGGAGTCTCTGTCACCCAGGCTGGAGTGCAGTAAGCAATCTCAGCTCACTGCAATCTCCACTTACTGGGTTCAGGCAATTCTTCTGCCACAGGTGGCTGGGATTACAGGTGTGCACCACCACGCCCAACTAATTTTTGTATTTTTAGTAGAGACGAGGTTTCACCATGTTGGCCAGGCTAGTGTCAAACTCCTGACCTCAGGTGATCCACCCACTTTGGCCTCCCAAAGTACTGGGATTATAGGCATGAGCACCTGGCCACTTTCCCTCTTTTATTTAGCTAGAGGTACAAGTGAAAATTAGAGACTTTGCTTTGTTTGTGAAAAATAAATGTATCCAATTCAATACAATCTCCTAATAGAAGCTAATGGCCTTCAGTAGGTAGAAACTATGGTTATAAAGAAAATTTCCTTTTGCTTTCAGTTTAGTGCTTCATCAAAACATCAAAGGAAATAATCCAACACTGATGATCCCAGAGTATGGTCTGATAAAATCTGTTGACTAAGAAAATTCTTGAGATGTGCTATATTTTAAGTTTTTTAACTTTAAAAATTGTTTAAATTTTTATTTGGAAATAATTTATAACTTCCACAACAGTTGCAAGAATGGTACAAAGAATACACCATATTCTTTCACTCAGATTCACCTACTGATGTTTATTTTGTTTGCTTTTATTATCTCTTTACACACACACACACACACACACACACACGTTTTTTGAACCATTACACAGTATAATCATGGTCCTTTATTCTTAAACACTTCTTAGATTATTTCCTAAGAATATGGTTATTCTCTTATAAAACCACAGTATTGTTAATAACTTCAGCACATTTAACATTGAAACACTGTTGTCTAGTCATCCATTTTGTCAATTGACTCAACAATGTCTTTTATCTCATTGTTCTCATTCAGTATATGACAGGCACTGCCTAGTTGTCCAGTCTTTTTAGCTTCCTTTGACCTAGACCTTTTCCACATTCTGTCTTACATGTCATTCACATTTTTTAAGAATATGATCCCCCTCTCTGTAAAAGAACATTCCTAATTTGGGGTTTGTGTGATGTTATCTCATGACTGAATTCAGGTTATACATTCTTGTCTGGAATATAGCTATAAATTAGTTATGTGGCCTTCTACAGGTATCATGGATTTCCATGTGCCCTTTATTAATGATGTTAATTTTTATTACCTGGTCAAGGTGTCCATTTTTCCCACTTTATAATTACTAATTTTTCCCTTGAGATATGTGGGAAGCATGCAAATATTCTGGCTGCTCATTGAAACTGCCCCTAGATTTAGGATCCTTTGTTGATTCTTGCCTAATCCAATCCTTAACACAATGGTTGAAGAATAATATGCTGCCAACTCCAGCATTCCTACATTTACCAGTTGGCACTTGACATTCTATGCACGATTCATTTTCCTTATAGTAGTTCACAGTTCATTAATGTACTTAATTGTTTTAGCACTCAAAATGACCCAGATTTAGTCAGTGGAAGTTCCTTCCAGCTGGCTCCTGTGTCCTATAGTAAGTCTCCAACATATTTTTAGGAACTTCTTTCCTTCCTTTCCTTGCTTTTTGTTTATGAGACAGGGTCTCACTCTTTTGCCCAGGCTGGAGTACAGTGGCCTAATCACAGCTCATTGCAGCCTTGACTTCCCAAGTTCAAGTAATCCTTCCACCTCAACCTCCCAAGTAGGTGGGACTACAGGCATGTACCACATCTGGCTACTTTTTAATTTTTTTTGATATGGGGTCTATGTTGCCCAGGCTGGTCTCAAACTCCTAGGTTCAAGCAATCCTCTTGCCTTGGTCTCCCAAAGTGCTGGGATTACAGGCTCTTTCCTTACTTTCCTACAAAAATTATAAAACATTATAAGATGTCTCAGGCTTATCTTATACCTATCCTGCTCCAGTCTTGGAATAAATCATTTCTCCAAGAAGTCTTGGTTCCTTTTTAGTGGAGAATGGTATTAGAGACTAAGATGTGGGCATTATGCATGGTCATTGCTACTGGGGTACTACTGTTTCTCATCCTTTTCAATGGACAGAGGTATGAAATACATGCATTTGCCATGTGTGCATGAATACATTTATACATTTATCTGTATACACACATGTACACAGCCACATATACACACATGTAACACATACATACGCATATAACACATACATATGCATATTTTTTTAAGTGTAAGTCCATACTGATACCTTGAATTGCAATCTATTTGCATGGGTTTTTCTTCTGTCTCCACAGTTGATAATTGTGTATTCCTATTTCTTCTGTAAGAATGCTGACTCCCAAGTACATCAACCCATTTTCTTTTTCTTTCTTTTTTTTTTTTTTTTTTTTTGAGATGAAGTCTTGCTCTGTCACCAGACTGGAGTGCAGTGGCATGATCTCGGCTCACTGCAACCTCCACTTCATGGGTTTAAGAGATTCTCCTGCCTCAGCCTCCTGAGTAGCTGGGATTACAGGCACAGCTAATTTTTGTATTTTTTGTAGAGACAGGGTTTCACCATGTTGGCCAGGATGATAGTCACGATCTCTTGACCTTTTGATCTACCCACCTCAGCCTTCCAAACTGCTGACATTACAGTTCAGTCCGTGCTCGGCTTGAACTCATTTTCTTAATCCTGTAATGCATCTACAATGGTTTCAGAATTGCTTTGCCCACACTACTAGTTCAGTATGTTTGTAATTCTCCCTCATCCTTTATATTGCAAATCGCATAAAAGAGTATATATAGTCAAATACTGTGTTTATAAATTAATCACTTGGATTAGTTCTTTTTTTCTTTAGTTATTTTTTTCCTTATCTTTCAATAATTTTGTTATCAGTGTAGTTATTGTAGTAATATGAAAAATAATTGGGTTCATTTATTTCAATTTGGTTACAGCTTGAGGTATTTTTCTCCTTTCCACTCTTAGGCACTTAATTTTTTTGCTTATGTAGAATATTTATACAATACCAATAGTAAAAATTACATACAAAAAGCTACACTCAGAGAACTGTCACTCCTTTTTTTTTTTTTTTCATGGAGTCTCTCTCTCTCACCAGGCTAGAGTGTGGTGGCATGATCTCGGCTCACTGCAATCTCTACCTCCCGGTTTCAAGCAATTCTCCTGCCTCAGCCTCCCAAGTAGCTGGGACTACAGGTGCGCACCACCACACACAGCTAATTTTTTTGTATTTTTAGTAGAGACAGGGTTTCACTATGTTGGCCAGGATCGTATTGATCTCTTGACCTTGTGATCCGCCCGCCTTGGCCTCCCAAAATGCTGGGATTACAGGTGTGAGCCACTACACCCCACCATCACTCTTTTCCATATCTTTTCCGTCCCATTCCTTGGATCCCTTATAAGTAACCAAGTTCATTATTTTCTGATTTATTATTTCTTTTTGTAAAGATAAGTCAAGAGTTGATATGCTTTTTTATTTTCCTTCCAGTTTTATAAAAGAGAGCCTATTATACATACTTTTTGTATCTAATATCACCTGTGAAAATCACTCTAGGTTAGTTCATAGAGATCTTATTTTTCTATTATAGCTGTATAGTTGGTACTCCATTCATGTATGTACCACAGTAAATTTCAACTAATATCCTATTCTTGGATATTTACTTCCTAATATTGTGCAGTTAAAAGTAATACTGCAGGCCAAGCATGCTGGCTCATGCCCGTAATCCCAACACTTTGGGAGGCTGAGGTGGGTGGATCATGAGGTCAAGAGATCAAGACCATCTTGGCCAACATGGTGAAACCCTGTCTCTACTAAAAATACAAAAATTAGCTGGGCATGGTGGCGCATGCTTGTAACCCTAGCTACTTGGGAGGCTGAGGCAGGAGAATTGCTTGAGCCAAGGAGTCAGAGGTTGCAGTGAACCGAAATCGCGCCACTGCACTTCAGCCTGGTCAACAAAAGCGAAGCTCCATCTCAAAAAAATAAAAATAAAATACTGCAATAAACAACTTGATATCTATGTATATTCATAATATTGAAAATGTATTTCCAGATAAAGTCCTGGAAATGTGAAAAGAGTAAGCACACATGTAGTTGTCTTAACCAAATTTCCCCCCATATAGGTTGGAAACTATTACATTTTATACTATTTTGAGACAGAGTCTCGCTCTGTCACCTAGGATAGAGGGCAGTGGAACAATCACTGCAGCCTCAACTTCCCAAGCTCAAGCAATCTTACAACGCTGAAACTCTCCCTCTCACTCCTAACAACCTTAATTTTTTTTTTTTTTTTTTTGAGTTTCGCTCTTATTGCCCACCCAGGCTGGAGTGCAATGGCGCAATCTCAGCTAACTGTAACCTCCTCTGCATCCTGGGCTCAAGCAATTCTCCTGTCTCAGCTTCCCAAGTAGCTGGGATTACAAGCACCTGTCACCATGCCTAGCTAACTTTTTTCTACTTTTAGTAGAGATGCGGTTTCACCATGTTGGCCAGGCTGGTCTCAAACTCCTGACCTCACCTGCCTTGGCCTCTCAAAATGCTAGGATTACAGGCATGAGTCACCACACCCAGCCTCAATCTTATATGTTTTTTATGTTTGTTTTATATCTTGCAAATTTTTGGAGAAAGGAAATACAAAGAAAAGTTAGTTACTTTACTTACTAAGTGGTGTTGTGTCAGGAGGTGGAAAATTCTCAGTAAAGTTGACATTACATAAATCTGTGCTACAACAGCAGAAACGGTATGTTCCATTTTGAATTGAGGGAGGAGTGGTAGTTACTACACATTCTTCATAGTGACACTCTTGGGGATCTCCAATGTGAGACCAACATCCTACAAATCAATATTAATATAAAAAAGTTAGTAGACAATATGAGAAAGAAAACTAAAAGAAAAAGAGTAAACTAAGAAGTAATTTCAATAAATGTAAGAGTACATATGAGCTAGGAAACAGTTTTGCAAATCAACAGGAAACATTTTTAAGAAACAAAAAAATGGTAAAGATACTAGACATTTCATGGGAAGAAAAGGGCCACCAAAAAAATGTTTAACTGCATGATTAATCTAAGAATTATTAAAGCAAGAGTAAGGTTTCATTTTTGTCTATACCAAGTAAATTGTTCTAGGTTTAAAAAATAATATGGCCAGGCACAGTGGCTCACACCTAGAATTCCAGCACTTTGGGAAGCCAAAGCAGGAGGATCACTTAAGCCCAGGAATTTGAGACCAGCCTGAGCAACATAGTAATACCACATCTCTATAAACATTTAAAAATTAGCTGGGCATGGCGGTGCTTGCCTGTGGTCCTACCAACTTGGGAGGATTGCCTGAGCCCAAGAGGTCAAGGTTTCAGTGAGCCATGAATATGCCACTGCATTCTACCCTGAGCAACAGAGTGCCACTGTCTCAAAAATAAAATAACAAATACATAAATAATATATATAAGAAAAAGGATTCAGTAACACAGACACCTTCATACAGTGTTGGAGGGAATATAAATGAATAGTACTTTTAGAAAGCCACATGGAAATTTTTATACAATTTTAAAAATATTCCGTCAGGCACGGTGGCTCACGCCTGTAATCCCAGCACTTTGGGAGGCCGAGGCAGGTGGATCACGAGGTCAAGAGATAGAGACCATCCTGGTCAACATGGTGAAACCCCGTCTCTACTAAAAATACAAAACATTAGCTGGGCATGGGGGCGCATGCCTGTAATCCCAGCTACTCAGGAGGCTGAGGCAGGAGAATCGCCTGAACCCGGGAGGCGGAGGTTGTGGTGAGCCAAGATCGCGCCATTGCACTCCAGCCTGGGTAACTAGAGCAAAACTCCATCTCAAAAAAATAAATACATAAATAAAATATTCATATATTTTATAACCTAATAATTCTACATTAAGGGATCTCTTTCAAGGAAACAATCATATACAATCAAAGAATTATATTCAAAGTTGTTCACTGAACAACTGTGTTTCACTATGCATTACAGTGAAAACATGAAAATAACATAATGTCTACAAATAGAATAATCTGTAAGTAAACTGTGATACATGTGTACAATGATATGTTGTGCAAAAGTTAAAAAGGTTTTCAGAGATTCTTTAAAGACATGGAACAGGCCGGGTGCGGTGGCTCAAGCACTTTGGGAGGCCGAGGTGGGTGGATCACGAGGTCAAGAGATCGAGACTATCCTGGTCAACATGGTGAAACCCCGTCTCTACTAAAAATACAAAAAATTAGCTGGGCATGGTGGCGTATGCCTGTAATCCCAGCTACTCAGGAGGCTGAGGCAGGAGAATTGCCTGAACCCAGGAGGCGGAAGTTGCAGTGAGCCGAGATTGCGCCATTGCACTTCAGCCTGGGTAACAAGAGCGAAACTCCGTCTTAAAAAAAAAAAAAAAAGCCGGGCACGGTGGCTCAAGCCTGTAATCCCAGCACTTTGGGAGGCCGAGGCAGGTGGATCACGAGGTCGAGAGATCGAGACCATCCTGGTCAACATGGTGAAACCCCGTCTCTACTAAAAATACAAAAAACTAGCTGGGCATAGTGGTGCGTGCCTGTAATCCCAGCTACTTAGGAGGCTGAGGCAGGAGAATTGCCTGAGCCCAGGAGGCGGAGGTTGCGGTGAGCCGAGATCGCGCCATTGCACTCCAGCCTGAGTAACGAGCGAAACTCCGTCTCAAAAAAAAAAAAAAAAAAAAAAAAGACATGGAACGAATGCTTATAATTAAGGTGGAAAAAATGGATATGAAATTGTTTATACAATACATTCCTAATTTTTTAAAAAAGTACACGCACATAATAACATAAAGGAACATAAAAAATACACCTGAAGAAGACAAACTAATACAGTAAAAATATGGGTTTTTTTTGAGATGGAGTCTTGCTCACTCACCAGGTTGGAGAGCAGTGGTGCAGTCTCAGCTCACTGCAAACTCCGCCTCTGGGTTCAAGCAATTCTTCCTCAGCCTCCTGAGTAGCTGGGTTTACAGGCGCATGCCACCACGTCCAGCTAATTTTTGTATCTTTAGTAGAGACGGGGTTTCACTATGTTGGCCAGGATGGTCTCTATCTCTTGACCTCGTGATCCATCCACCTCAGCCTCCCAAAGTGCTGGGATTACAGGTATGAGCCACCACGCCCGGCCAGTAAAAATATTTTTAAAAGAGTCTATTATTGTAGACTTTTGTTTTCTTTATAGTTTTCTATATATTCCACAATTCATAGAATGGGCATGTGCAACATTTTAAGAAGAAAGGTGTTTTTAAAATAATCTAAAAATAAATAGCCTTTCATAAATTTGGGCCTTGTGGATATATATATATATATAAGCACTTTTTTTTAGTTTGTTTTGAGATGGAGTCTCGCTCTGCTGCCCAAGCCGGAGTGCAGTAGTGCCATCTCAGATCACTGCAACCTCTGCCTTCCAGGTTCGGTAATTCTGCTGCCTCAGCCTCCCGAGTAGCTGGGACCATAGGTGCACTAATTTTTGTATTTAGTGGAGACAAGGTTTCATCATGTTAGCCAGTGCCCGCCCCTGCCTCCCAAGGTGCTGGGATTACAGGCATGAGCCACTGTGCCCGGCCTTATATATACAATTTTAAATTCACTGTTTTTCTGAACAGGATTTTAACGTACTCCCATGTCCATTTTAGATAAACATCAATTGTATAAAACACAAAGTCATTTTAGGTAAGGAAAGTATCACTTGCCTTGTTTTACAAGATTGATGTCCCCTTTTGATTTCTCCCAAAGGCCATAGCAGGTGCTACCTTTTGAGCATAATATTGTTCCATTTTCATGAGAGATTCGACTCTCACCTATCCCAAGGTCTTGCTGATATGGATCTTTAAATGCACATAGCCGTTCTTGATTCTGTGAAGCTAAAATAAAGGAAATTAAGGAATGACAAATTATTTAATCTTTCCAAAATATTATTATAGAAAATCTTAAGTCTTATTTGAATGGCTTTATAAATTTCCCTATTATTTGAACTGAAATCTTTAAGTAACTTTATAATTTTACATTCAACGACTTTCTTTCTGTTCATAAATTCATTTGAAATTTTAAAACTCGTTCCCAAAAGCATCCCCTCCTACTCAAATTATTCTCACCACTCTTTCTTCTATTAAATAATTTTGGTGTCCAAATAAGGAAATATCATCAAAGTAAATGTCCATGTTCAAAATTATCAAGCCTTCAAAACAAACAAACCTAGAAGGCTGAATAATTTTGGAAATTGCATAGTACTTACTTCTATCATATTTTATAGTCAGTTATACAAAGTTACATACATTATTAGGTATGGTAAACTAATTATACAAAGAGTAACTATGAATGGGTACATGATTTCTTTTTTTTTTGAGACTGAGTCTCACTCTGTCACTAAGGCTGGAGTGCAGTGGCACTATCTCGGCTCACTGCAATCTCCACCTCCCAGGTTCAAGTAATTCTCCTGCCTCAGCCTCCCTCCTGAGTAGACTAAAAGCACCCACCACGCCTGGCTAATTTTTCTATATTTTTGTAGAGACGGGGTTTCACCATGTTGGCCAGAATCGGTCTCAATCTGCTGACCTCATGATACCCCAACTCCCCCCGCCTCAGCCTCCCAAAGTGCTGGGATTACAGGTGTGAGTCACTGCACCCAGTCTCTTTTTAGGGTTATACATATGTTCTAAAACTAGATTGTGGTAATCATTGCACAAGTCGGTAAACATTTGCAAAAAAAAAATTGTTCACTTAAAATGAGGGAACTTTAGGTATAAATTATACTTCAGTTAAGTTAAAAAACTAGGTTATGTGGGGTCAAAAAAAAATCCTTTATTTTATTTTAATTTTTTTGAGACGAAGTTTTGCTCTTCTTGCCCAGGCTGGAGTGCAATGGCAAAAATCTCTGCTCACCACAACCTCTGCCTCCCGGACCCAAGCGATTCTCTTGCCTCAGCCTTCCAAATAGCTGGGACTGTTGGCGTGCACCACCAGACCCGTCTAATTTTTTGTATTTTTAGTAGAGATGGGGTTTCACTGTGTTAGACATGCTGGTTTCGATCTCCTGACCTTGTGATCTGCCCACTTAGGCCTCCCAAAGGGCTGGGATTACAGGTGTGACCCACTGCGCCCAGCTGATTTACATTTCTCTAATGATCAGTGATATCGAGCTGTTTTTTTCATATGATTGTGGCCACATGTATGTCTTCTACTGAAAAGTATCTATTCATGTCCTTTGCTCACTTTTTTTTTTCTTTTTCTGAGACAGAATCTCACTCCATCACCAGGCGCCAGGCTGGAGTGCAGTGGCGCGACCTCGGCTCACTGCAACCTCCGCCTCCCGGGTTCAAGCAATTCTCCTGCCTCAGCCTCCTGAGTAGCTGGGACTACAGGCGCGCACCACCACGCCCAGCTAATTTTTTTGTATTTTCAGTAGAGACGGAGTTTCACCATGTTGGCCAGGATGGTCTTGATCTCTTGACCTCGTGATCAGCCCGCCTCGGCCTCCCAAAGTGATGGGATTACAGGCATGAGCCACCGCGCCCGGCCTTTGCCCACTTTTTAATGGGCTTTGTTTTCTTCTTGTAAATTTGTTTAAGCTCCTTATAGAGGCTGGATATTACACCTTTGTCAGATGCATAGTTTGCAAAAATTTATTCCCATTCTGTAGGTTGTGTGTTTACCCTGTTAATAGTTCATTTTGCCATGCAGAAGCTCTTAAGTTTAATTCGATCCCATTTGTCAATTTTTGCTTTTGTTGCAATTGTTTTTGGTATCATCATAAAACCTTTGCCTGTTCCTATGTCCAGAATGGTATTGTCTAGGTTGTCTTCCAGAGTTTGCATCATTTGGGGGCCATTATCCTTAGCAAACTAATAGGAACAGAAAACCAAATACCACATGTTCTCACTTATAAAAGGGAGCTAAATGATGATAACACATGGACACATAGAGGGGAACCCCGTACACTGGGGCCACCAAAGGGTGGGAGGAGGGAGAGGATCAGGAAAAATAACTAATGCATACTAGGCTTAATATCTAGGTGACAAAATCATCTGTACAACAAATACCCATGACAAGTTTACCTATATAACAAACTTGCACAAGTACACCTGAACTTAAAATAAAAGTTAAATTTAAAGAAATTCTTAATAAGGTTCCATTTTTCATGATGTATCATCTCTTATTTTTATTTAACAGTTATAAAGCTACACTGATAAATCATTTTTGTCTAAGTTGTACAAAATTACAGATGTTTGCCAAACAACTAAAATTAGGTAAAAAGAGGAGTGTGAGGGTTGTGGAAGTGAGCTGCCAAGCAGCTGACAAAAAGTTTGCTAAACAAGTATCCAAAAAACTATAACCTTAGAAAAGAAGAGTCCACTCAATCAAAAAGGATGGCTTAAAGGAGAAAAATAAAAAGGGTTTTGAACAAAGAGACAGTATAAAAACAACTTTGTATTTGGCAGCAAGACATCTTACTTTTTCACTCCAACATTTTGAGAACAGCCTACACTTTTTCTATCTTCAAGATATTGCATGCAAGGTAAGTCCATAAATGTACAACTCTAGAAACTGTACACCATTCTGAAGAATAGTTTTTCAAATTAACTCTATAAACACTTTTTAGAACCTAGTGATAACCAGTTTGTACACGGGGAAGATTTGGCAGGCATACAAATTGTAATTATAAATAAGTCTGCTTATAGGCAGAAACAAGTTGAAGCCTCAAATGTATAAGAAAATTGGTTTAGAGAATGCAAAAAATATACATGTCAAATAAAAAGAACGACAGCTTTTTGAATAAAGATAAATGTGCACATGAAAGAAACAATCACTACTGGTTATCGTCTACTCTAAACATCTGTTAAACTCAGAGATATAGACAGGATAAAGAGGAAAATCTGACAGAATAGAGCAGAGGCCAAATTCTAACTGAGGACACTAACAAAGATAGAATAAAGAGCATTAAGCATTCAATTTTTAAAAAAAAAATTTTTTTTTTTTTTTGAGACAGGGTCTTACTCTATCGCCCAGCTTGAGTGCCATGGCACAACCTTGGCTCACTGCAACCTCCACCTCCTGGGCTCAAGTGATCCTTCCACCTCAGTCTCCTGAGTAGCTGGGACCACAGGTACATGCCATCAAGCCTGGCTAATTTTTATAATTTTGTAGACACAGGGTCTTGCTATGTTGCCCAGGCTGGTCACAGACTCCTGGACTCAAGTGATCCTCTTGCCTTGGCTTCCCAAAGTGTTGGGACTGCAAGCAACTCTGTCCAGCTCAAAATTTTTAAAAATTAGTATTACAGATACAGCAAATAAATGCTTTAAACAAAAAGTATCATTACAGCCAGGTGCGGTGGCTCACGCCTGTAATCCCAGCACTTTAGAGAGGCTGAGGTGGGCAGATCACCTGAGGTCAGGAGTTCGAGACCAGCCTGACCAACTTGAAGAAACCCCGTCTCTACTAAAAACACAAATTAGCGGAGAGTGGTGGCAAATGCCTGTAATCCCAGCCACCAGGGAGGCTGAGACAGGAGAATCGCTTGAATCCAGGAGGCGGAGGTTGCAGTGAGCTGAGATCATGCCATTGTACTCCAGCCTGGGCAACAAGGGCAAAATTCCATCTCAAAAAAATAATAAGAAGGTATCCTTATACAGAATTGTCCATGTGTTACCATATCATCTAAACTGAAGGTATCAATCATTTACTTCAAAAACAAGTCAAGGCCAGGAGCGGTAGCTCATGCCTATAATCCCACCACTTTGGGAGGCTGAGGCAGGTAGATCACCTGAGGTCAAGAGTTCAAGACCAGCCTGGCCAACCCTGTCTCTACTAAAAACTATAAAAATTAGCTGGGCATGGTGGCAGATGCCTGTAATGTCAGCTACTTGGGAGGCTGAGGCAGGAGAATTGCTTGAACCTGGGAGGTTGAGGTTGCAGTGAGCCAAGATCATGCCACTGCACTCCAGCCTGGGTGACAGAGCAAATTTCCATCTCAAAAAAAATAAAAAAACAAAAAAGTCAGATTTGCAACCTATGTCTTGTCCTTTGAGTAGAAGTGTCTCATTCTATTATTTGATGTTGGGGGAAAAAAATGAAAGTATGACAGGAAAATTAGCACAGGTTTCCAAAAACTTTAATGGCTTATCTATAGTACTTTATCTATCTCTTTCTCTGTATATAGCCTAGCTACAAATAATATAACATATATTATTGTTTGCTAAAAATAATGTATCTTTATGTCATTTTTCTGTTTCTTCTAAAAAACATCATTATAAGTATATTGACGAAGAAATCACTGGAAATAGATAATAGTCATGAAAAACTATTATGTCATGTTCATGATAAATGAGCTATACTCATTTATCATGAACATAAGGCTGGGCGCGGTGGCTTATGCCTATATTTTGGGAGGCCAAGGCAGGTGGATCATGAGGTCAGGAGTTCGAGACTCGCCTGGCCAACATACTGAAACCTCAGCTCTGCTAAAAATAAAAAAATTAGCTGGGCATGGTGGCACATGCCTGTAGTCCCAGCTACTCAGGAGGCTGAGGCAGGAGAATTGCTTGAACCCGGGAGGCAGAGGTTGCAGTGAGCTGAGATCGCATCACTGCACTCTAGCCTGGTGACACGAGTGAGACTCTGTCTCAAAAAAAAAAGAAAAGAAAGAAAGAAAGAAAAGTGCTGTATAGGCTGGGCACAGTGGCTCACACCTGTAATCCCAGCACTTTGGGAGGCCGAGGCAAGTGGATCATCTGAGGTCAGGAGCTTGAGACCGGCCTTATCGATATGGTGAAACCCCATCTCTACTAAAAACACAAAAATTAGCTGGGTGTGGTGGCAGGCACCTGTAGTCCCAGCTAGTCCAGAGGCTGAGGCAGGAGAATTA